CTTGCTATGCAGTTCAGGCTGGCCTTGAGCTCACTTTGTAGCCCAGGCTAGTCTTGAACTTGCAACGATCCTCCTGCCTCAGCCTCCTGAGTACTGGGATTACAGGTGTTTGCCACCACACCTGCCACCACTACCTTCTAATTATTGATGGGCTTTTTAACAAATAATTGTATCTGAACTCCTTGAATTTGATCTCCCAGAAAATAAGAGCTTTTTAACAGTTGGCACTAAAGTTATATTTGCATTTAATTGTAATTAGTATTTAACTCATATTTGATTATTTTGGGGAAGAACAGCTAAGTTTTAAAAGTTCTGTATTTGTTTCTCTTTAAAAAAACCATCTAAGCCGGGTGTGATGGTGCACACCTGTAATCAGTCCCAGCACTCTGGAGGCTGAGGCAGGAGGATAATTGCAAGTTCGAGACCAGCTTGAGCTACAAAGTGAGCTCAAGGCCAGCCTGCATGGCATAGCAAGACCCTGTCTCAAAAAAGACCAAAAAAAAGAAAAAATACCCATCTAAGTAATTTATTCTGCTTTGTGTACTCTAATTAGGATATCTGAGACTAGATAATTTATAAAGAACAGAAAATTAAGCCAGGCATAGTGGCTCATGCCTGTAATACCAGCTCGCTGGGAGGCTGAGGCAGAAGGATTGTAGCTCTGTGGCCATCCTAGGTAACTTAGCAAAACTCCTCTCATAGTGAAAAGTTCTCAAGAAAGGGCTGTTGAAGTAATTCAGTAGCATAGTACTTAGCCAGCATGCCTCAGCTCATGGGTTCAATTCCCAGTACTGAAAAAAAAAATTTTCCCTCCTAATTTTGAAGGCTGGGAAATCCAAGATCAAGGCTTTCATTGGTGTCTTTTGAAGGCTTTCAATTGGGCAGCAAAGCAAGGTAGCCTCTCACAAGTGCCTTCCTTCCGCTACTCAGAAGGTGCCCTCGGCCCAGAGGCCTTTTCAAGACTCCTTTCAGTACCATCCGGTGATGACAGCTAAGTTTGGAGCGGCGCATCTAGACCACAGCAAGCTTAGTAGAGCAGATTCCACAGGTGTGGAGTTAGCTGTCAGTCATTTTGATTCAGTTTCAGAGGTTTCTAGGCCCTGAAGTTTTGCATTTTAATGAAAATTACAGAAGGGAGATCTGTTTCTGCGCTGCCAGATTAAAGGTCTTAATTTTTTTATTTTCTTTTGAGACATGGTCTCACTATTTGGTTCAGGCTGTCATTGAACTCACTGTTTAGCCAGGCTGGCTTTGAACTTGCAGCAATACTCCTGCTTCAGCCTCTGAAATGCTGGGATTACAGGCATGTGTAACTGTGCCTGGCAAAAGGTCTAAAATATAAAACTTTTTTCCTGTTTTGGATCTTACTAATTGAGGGTTTTACCTTATTTATTTGAAATATTTTTATCTAATACACACTTTGAGAATGCCTCTGCTAAAGAAACAGTAGTAGGCTTATTTTGTGAGTCTAGGAGTAAAATAATTCTTACAGTTGTCCACTTAGAATGACTTTCAGGGTAGACAGTTTGTATTCCTGTAAAAATATTAACCCTTTTCCATGGGTCCACTACATAGTAAAGCAAAGTTCATGTACCTTTATTTTCGCACAACAAACAAGGGACAGCAGCATTTAGGGAGCTCTAGAATGGTTGAATATGGGACTGTAGAGGTGGCTGATTTGAGTGGGTAAAAAGAAGATGGTCCAGGTTATAGAAATAATGTGGAGAAGCCCCTAAACAGCCTTGGGCGAGGTGTGTGATGGTCCACGGGGTACTGCCCTTGTAGGAGAGGAACGGTGAGGTGGTGGAGCAATGGGAAGCAAGATTGGCTAGAAAGGTCGAACGGTTAAAAGTCTGGAATTAGAGACAGTATTGCAAGGAAGGCAGAATGGTGTGCTAAGAATATTGTTTTAGAAAGGTAATGATCTACTATTTAGTAATGTGTGGATTAGGCTTCAAGTAGAGTTTTGTGGATGGACACATGAGGGAGGGTGAAGGTGTAGGGCATTCTAGAGGACTCTGAAAGGACAGGTGGACAGGAAGGCCAGGGTTGAAAGGTGCTTGGCAGCAGAGAGCAATGTGAGGGAGCTCAGGAAATGGCATCTTAAGAAAGAGACTGCTAGCGGGGTGTGGTGGCGCACGCCTGTAGTACCAGCACTTGGGAGGTTCAGGCAGGAGGATCATTGTGAGTTCGATCATTGCCCGGGGTACAAATTGAGCTCAAGGCCAGCCTGAACTGCATTTCGAGACTCTGTCTCAAAAAGACAAAAAAAAAAAAAAAAAAAAGAGACTTCTGAGTCAGGGAAAAAGTAGGTCCTTAGCCTGGTTTAAAGATCACAGTAAATTAATCTGTTTTTAAAAATGGAGATAATAAAGTACTCCTTTAGAGATTTTGGCAGTTGAAGTAGAGAGAAGATACTTGAAAAAGTTAAGGGGCTGGGAATATAGCTCAGTGGCACAGTGCCTGCCTGGCAAGCGCAAGGTCCTGAGTTCAATTCCCAGCACCAAAAAAGAAAAAGAAAAAGTTAAGAAGAATTCTGCATAGATTTATATATGATGTTAGCTAAAGGTATTGGTCTAGGAGTGTTATTCAAGTTACTTTTCTAACCTTTTCCTAGTTATAAAAGTAATCTGTATTTACTGCAGAAAACTTGGAGAAGTACTAAACATATGTCTCCAAAGAGGACAGCTAGAATAAGGTTTTTTGTTTTTTGTTTTTTTTTTTTAAAGTGCAACAGGGTATTGCTAGGCATTTCAGCCTGTCTTTGAATTGATAAATAGCCCAGACTGGCCTTGAACTCACTGTACTGCTCCTGCCTCAGCCTCTTGAGTTCTCGAATTACAGGCATGTGCCACCACGCTTGGCTGGTCTTCTTCAATGTAATTATTTTGTCATAATCAAGATTCTATATATTTCATTTTCTGTTTTTTATTTCAAAGTTTTTAATTGTTAGAGAAGAAAATAGTTTTACTATGTTGATATTTTAATGACCTCTTAGTGGTCTGTTGAATTAAATATTTTGCTGTTTGTGTACATGCAGATTTTGTATTTGCTTTTGTGGTTATCAGAATGAAATAGGCATTGTTATGCATATATTTGTGTTTAGATTTACTAGAAGTCACATTTCTGAACAAAATATAAACAGTTTAGGTCCTTGATACCTGCTGCTAAGTTGTTTGAGCAGTTCCTTTTAAAGAGAGACTTAACAGATGGCATGTCTGATAATAGTTACGACTTTGTAAAGCTATTAAATCTGCTTTGTTCTGTGTCTAGCTTTCAAAGAAAACATAGACTATTGAAGGAGGGAATCTTTTGAATTGAATATGGAGAGTTTTGCCCCTCCCCATAGAATGAATTCACCATCCTCTCTTTCTTGTTCCCTTTGTATCTGAGTTGAGAATAATTTAACTTTCAGCATGAAAAACTACTGAAGAAAAATAACTTGAATAAGTTAATGTTTTCCCTTTTGTAGGATATAGATTTGGATCACTATGAGATGAAGGAAGAAGAGCCTATTAGTGGGAGAAAGTTAGAGGATGAAGGAATTGAAAAAGAGAATTTGGCAATATTAGAGAAAATTAGGAAGACTCAAAGGCAAGATCATTTAAATGTGAGTATGTGTAAATACCTAGAACCTGGACTTCCATGGTTGAGTAGCTATTAAGTAACACTAGGCAGTTCACTCAGGTACCCATTCCAGCTTTCCCTCTTGCACCCTGCCTCAGTATTCAGTCATATGTGATGTTGCCCCAGGTACTTCTCCTCTGTTGACATCTACTTTCCACCCTGTCCATCTGCTCTTCACGTCCTGGGACCCTCCTGCTTCTCCCCTCGACTGCCCCCTTCCCACCTCTGCCAGTTATTGCTGTATTTTTCATTTACCTTGCCTGGTGCGATCCATATATTCAGAGCCAATCCCTCCTACAAAGTCTGTTCAGATTTTTTCTTCTGTGAAGTTGACCTTGGGTCTATGTGCCCTGACCAAACCCAAAGTCACTTTTCTCTTTTGGCTTCACAGCTCTGTCATGTGAAGCACCATAAAACAGTTTGGTGACAGACACTGTGGGGCTTCTGTTTTCTCAATTCTAAAATGTGAACAGACACTGCATACCTTTTGGACGACTACAATGATAAATGAGAATGTGTGTGTATATGTATGTATGTATAGAAACGTGTGTAGGTATACTATGTACATATGTATAAATAATACCCAGAGGAGGGAGACCTCTAATGCCAGTCTGGCTGTTTCCTCACTTACACTTCTGCCTTCTCTTGGAGCCACTTGTCAGCTCTCAAATCCAAGGCCATTTGCTTTGTCTTAGACAAACCCACAGAAGGTATTGTTTGGAGAGTAAATGCCAAGAACTATAAAAACATTTTTTCTGCATCAATCTTAGTATATTAATTTAATTGGCAGCATTTTTAATATAGCAAAGAAATGTAGCCAACTTAATATTTTAATAAAGATTAAAATAAGTTTTTTATACCTGAACCAATGATATTGTACTATATTTGCTATTTTTTGATCAGGTCCAGTTTGTATGAGTTACAGTCAGAACAGCTACAAATAATCAGATACTTCCATATGATAAACATAATGCTTAATGTATTATATGTATTTTCTAGACATTCTCATTTAATCTTCAAAGCCACTGTATAAAGTAGATATTCTACATATATAGTAGATGAGAAAATTAGGGCTTAAACTAGTTCAATGTCATATAGCTAGGAAATATCTTTGTAGGCTATTTTTTCCCCTTAAAGTGTAATGCAGCTCTTAAAATCTTTAATTTTACTGGATCAAAAATAGTTCCATTCATATTCACTCTTAGGATGAGACATAACTGACAAGAAAGGAAACCAGTTGCTTTAAGGCAACATGTTTTTCAATTTCTTAGTATGTAAACTAGACCTTCAGTCTAACATTCTTGCTCAGTCTTATTAATGGAACTATTTTAGTTCATAATGTGCTATGATAAGGGTTTTCTAGTACTTTCAAAAATTAGAGTGTGGAATAGACTCATACTGAATTATATAATATCACAGAGTCCATGACAGTCTGGATATGTTAGCTAGATACCCTACCCCCTCCGTGATAAACAGTGCATGAACCAGACTTGCCCAACTTTTATATTCTTTTGAAACTTCATAATCCTTCATTTAAACTTCTTCAACTTCTAAAAATGCTGAGTGATGATCCATTTTACAATCTTTTTATAAACTTTTATATCTGATTCAAAGAATTTGAATCTTGAATGACTTAGGAGACCCTGTAAACAGCAGGTTTTCTGTTTCAGGGTGCAGTGTCTGGGTCTGTGCAAGCTTCAGATAGACTTATGAAAGAGCTCAGGGACATATACAGATCACAGAGTTACAAAACAGGTAAGGACCACTGGGTCCCTGCTGTCTGCGTTCTGTTGCTCTTTGCTGTTTTCAAATAATGTCTTTTCTTATAACTGGACAGCAATGTAAATGTTTATTAACTTTATTTTAAGAATGTTGAAACTCAAATTTAATCAATTTCCAGAAGATATAGGAGGTAAAAGAGAATGAGTTTGGATTTTTAAAAAAATAAGTGTTTTTATAGATCCATCACAATTTTTTTGCCTTCCTGATATTTAATTCATATAATTTTTATCTTCTGGCAAAAACGTGAGTAATACTGCTTTGTAAAGTAAGTAGGGTTGATATATTTCATTGTACAAAGAAAGAACCATTGCTGAGATGATTTTATTTTGCCTTTTGTTCCCACAACATAATGAACTCTTGTTGTACGGGTAATTGTGGTGTTCCTTTTAAGCTATGTGGATTTAAAATTTCTTAATTAAAAATTGTTTTTGCTATTTTATACTAGTTAGATTTAAGAGTATTCTTTCTTATTTACTAAGTCTTAAAATACTGTGGAGCCTCTCTAGTTAGAGGTGAGCTTCTCTTACATGGTTACAGTGCTACATAAGAGAAAAGAACCAAGGCTTTATTTGTTTGAGAAGATAGTGTTCTGATCCACGCAGGAGTTCTCAGAATGATCTAAAAATTATTAAAATTGCTTAAAAAAGAAGACCAAATTTTGCTTTGTAGAGTATAAAATAAGCCAGATTTCTTTCTGAATTATTAGAAGTTTGGTTATCCTAATAGTTTATCTTATAAGAGGCCTAAACATTTATCTGTAGAAACCTAAAAGATTGTCTGTAGAAACCTAAATAGTTAAATATTTGAATACTAGTTTTATATCTGAATGTTAAGTAATTGCCTGTTTGTTTCAGTGTTGTATACATTGGCAAGAATTTAATAACCAGATATTAGATAGATTTGATTACATTATGGTATGTGCATAAAATAGAGATTGACAACAGACTTAGTGTATATTGACTGAGATGTCCCAGGAACTTGAAGATTAAAAATAAAAATGTGTGTAAGAAGGATTCAGTTTTGTATAAATGTTTCTATGTACACAGAAGAAAATTCTTTTGTATATATGATTTAACATAATTGTACTTTTCAAAGTTAAATAGCCAGGCATGGTGGTGTACGCCTGTAATCCCAGCACTTGAGAAGCTGAGGCAAGAGCATCATTGTGAGTTCAAGACCAGCGTAGGCTACAAAGTGAGCTCAAGGCCAACCTGAATTGCATAGGGAGACTCTGTCTCAAAAAGACCAAAAAAAA